TTGTATTTACGTCAAGAGTTTGCAAAATAATAAAATGTAAAATTCACAAAACTTACACTACATATTTTCATATGCATACCGTGATTATTTATAGGTTTATGTTGATGCACCTCTCGAAGTTGTTGAACAACGTGATCCAAAAGGATTATATAAAAAAGCTAAAATGGGTGAAATTAAAGGTATATATTTGTATAAATGTAAAATGGATTTACACATGAAATCTAATAAATTTTAACGTCCACATTTTCCCTCGAAATTATAAGATTTCACAGGTATTTCAGCACCCTATGAACCACCACCATCCCCAGAACTTCACATTCGTACCGATAAACTGAATTTAACAGAAAGTGTTAAGGTAAATAATATTTTACTAAATTTAGATTTGTTCATAAACTAATGTTGATCTTACATTGTAGATAATAGCCGATTACCTAGTTGAACAAAAGTATATTAATCCAAAGGTTTTGAATTGATGTTAAACACTGTAGGGTTGCGATCCAACCCTTTTTTTTAAAAAAAAAATTGACATTATTACATAGATTCATCTGGGATAATGACCAAACCGAATATACGTCCTATTTTTAATTGATAGTGTCAAACTCAAAAACAAATTGTTAAATCAGTGTTATGAATTAAGAAAGTTTAAATGATTTAACGACTAGATAGGTAAAGCGACATGATTAGAGCTAATACTTACAAAATAACTATAAAAGTGAAAGATTTTCACATTCAAATAAAATTTTGAGTCGTAATTAATAAACTTTTTTGACAAAGTTTCTTTCGGAATTCGAGTAAAACTGTCTGTGATGATAATTTTTTAGAAAAGTAAAAACCCTTAATAAAATCGATACCTTATCAGTTATTGTCATTGTCGATTAACTTATAATTGCTAATTTGTAAATGAATTACTGTGACGCCAGTTTCGATTCACGACCAGAAAGCCATTGAGACTCCTCCGCAAGACAAATAGCACAAAGTATTGGTTTAATGTTACGATTAATTTTGCGATAACGGCGAACGTTGACGTCTAATGTGTCGACTAATAACTTGCTTCGATAATTAATGTATTTCTTTCTTACTAAAAGATACCTAACACTCTTCGAATAGTTTATCGTCAGTACGTCGATGTTTGTTATCATATTCGTCTTCAACCCACGCTTATCATAAGATTAATTGTTAATAAAATCAAGGCCATAAGACTAAGAACCCAACCTATTTAGGGCCTTAAAGAAATAGTTTGACCCTTGCTGGAATCGAACTAGCGACATCAAAGCCTTATGACTAGGAATCCAACCGACTTAGAGCCTCTACATGGCTCCAGAATCATACAACGACTATAGCGCCAAAAACCTCGAGAATAAGAAAATGAAAGGAGCTGAGAAACAGGGAATAGAACAGTACGAAACTTAAGAAGGATGTCGTACACACACTCGTATTTCATTTAGGTATAGAGACTAAGAACTCTCTTTCAGCAAGTGACATCAAAATGAACACAAGCCACATTGAGAAAAAAAAAAGACCTTAAAGTTGAAATACTATCAACACAATCCAATATAATAAGAATATACCAATATTCTTACGTCAACCATCGGTTGATAATCATAAATACCAAGAAAAATCTCATTTTATGACTTGAGCTTGTCATAGTGATTTAACCTTTTTCAAACTCTAGCCACAAAATACAAGAGAGGGTAAATCTCAAGGCATAATGCTCAATTTTCCTTCGAGAGCTAGAAGGTATACATCCTATAACTCTTCACCATATCACCGTAGTGTAATATATAGTAGTGTAGCTGGTTATAAGATGAAAATTCAATTCACCTGGTCGGTATAACTTGAGTTAGCTTGAAATTTTACATTTTATTATTTTGCAAACTCTTGACGTAAATACAAGAGAAGGTAAATCCGTCATCAATTTTTCTTCGAGAGTTAGAAGGTATGCATCCTATAACTAAGGTTGTTAATGGAGTACCCCAAACTATGATAAAACATATTACCATTCCAGTTTTAAACTAGAATGGTTATATGTTTTATTATCTGTTATAACTTGGAGTATTCCATTAACAACCCTACTTATAACTCTTTACCATAGCACCGTAGTGTATCTATAGCAGTGTAACTGGTTATAAGATGAAAAAATTAATTACCAGGTCGGCATAGCTAGAGTTAGCATGTAATTTACGTTGTAATATTTTGCAAACTTTTTGCTGTAAATACAAGAGGGTAAATCCTTTGAGGCACAATGCTAAATTTTCCTTCGAGAGATAGAAGGTATGCATTCTATAGCTCTTCGCCATAATTGTAATTCTGGCAGCGTAGCTAGTTATAGAATGAAAGGCTCAAAACTACCGCTAGAGTTCGCATGATACCTGCTTAGAAAAATTAAGATGGTTAAAAAATAACATTTGTTTTTTTTTTTTTTAACCAATAAAAATTGGTTTTGATCATGGCTGATAGCAGTCAGGGAATATGTCATCATAGTAAAAATGTAGATCAATTTTTAAAAATTTGCTATGAAAATTTTCAAAAGTTTTTATTCGCTTTTAATTGAACCGCGTGACGCGTGAAAGTTATTAAAAATATTCTCTAAATAACGCTATTCTACGGGTTTGCTCTATTAAATGGTATAAGTTTGAAACCCGATTCATATGTAAACAAGAAATAATGTCGGGCTTAAAGTTTGTTAATATTTCTGAATCTTGCCTATATCAAAAATTTGAAAATCCTTAACTCGCCAAGCTTCCAGTGTGGATTTAACTTCAAACTGGTGTTTTACTAAAGTAATATTCTTTTCAAACCCCTTTCACTAAAATTTTATCATAATTTATTATTAGATCTCTTTGGAATTATTTGTTTTTATAGTCAGAACTCCTTAAATACACCTTTTCGGGACCATAGCAAATAGGAAAAAAAAAGTGTGTGCTTAAAGAAGGTGTATATTTATAGAGAGCAAAATATATAGAGCTCTTATAAGTTGGGACTGGACTATACCATGTATTTATAGAGAATTTACATAGTCTATGCGCTTAGAGAAGTGCACTTAGAGAGGTTTGACTATACTGACCAAAATATAAAGAATCTCTACACCATGATGGCTAATTCATGTTGGGTTTTGTCTACAGTAATCAGAAAAAGCCTTACTAAACTTCTAAACTTTAGAACATAATTATAAAAGGATTAGTATTCTTCTTAGAAAGTTTTTTTTTTTTTATTTTAATTCTTTTTTGTTAACTGATTACTTTTTTTTTATCTCTTAATTCAAGTTAGTTTAATAAATATATAATGTTGATTGTAGCTTTTCTGAAATCAGCATTGAAGAAGATAAACAAAAGGCTTTCGAATATTAAATTTGCAGAGAATACCAATAAAACATATATGATTGATTTTTTGTTATAGAAAGATAAAGTTTTTTGAATTCTATAAAAAGGCCGCTGATATGATAACAATAACGAAACATCTAAAGGTAATTAATATCATTTAATTATTTATTTTCTTAAGTAAAGTTGCAATGATAATTTAAAAAAATGCTAATTGAAAATAAATATTAATTATTATAGATTTTTTGAAGATAATTACAAAATATTTGAAAGGTGAAATTGTTCTTGTGTATCATGCATATTGGCATGGTAAAGTCAAAATATATGTTTAGTTTAAACAATTGTTTGGTTATAGAAGTTTTGTGATTTAAAATATATAACTTATTATTTTTATTAAAAATAAAAAGTTGTTACTTTTGTATTATTTATTATGTAATTTTTTTTTTTAATTTTTATGCACATTAATTTTTTTTTTTATTTGCATTAATTGATTATTAATTACAAATTGTAATAAAATCATTGAAAGATAAATTAAATTTGATATCTAGTGTATAATGAAAAATGGAAATAAAATAATAACATAATTAAATCTTTGTTTATTAAGTATCAAACTATCTTCTAAAACATTTTGTCCAAAAACTTCATTCAAATATTTTTAAAACATTTGTTATGCCTTGTCTAAAATGCCTTGTTCAAATGTCTTTTTTAAAACATTTATCTTTTGAACTGCTTCTAAAATGCCTTGTACAAATGCCTTTTTTAAAAGGTTTATCTTTTGAATCACCTATAAAACACTTTTTAAAATATCTTTGTTAAATAATATCTTTGTTAAATGTTTCAAGTAGCAAAATTCATAATCTATAAATAAGACAACTTAACTCTTTTATCTCATATTAAAAAATAAAGAATTACTTACAAAAATACATATTAACTAATAAAAATTTTAAATAAGTAATTTGTTATAATGGAAGAAGTTACAATAGAAGAATATTGTGATTATTCTGTATATGAAGGTCTGGAAGAAGAAACTTGGAGTGCTAATCTGAATGATCAAAAATTCATATTTACTCATGATTATCTAGTTGCAACTAGAGCAAAAGATTTATTAGAAGATCAAGTAATGCAAGATGAAGATAATATCGAAAATATATTATTTGGGCATAATGATAATAATGATAATAATATAGATTATGATAAAATTCCAGAAATTACAACAAAAAATGTTTATCTTGTGTTATTATTGATAATTTAAATAGAGTAATCGGGTATTGCAATTCAGTAGATTCTCTAGTGTCATTGGCTTAATTGGTTGGAACATGAAAAATAGAATTGACTTCAGAAAAATCATTAGATTTAACCAAATTGAGAGTTTGCTTTAATCATTTTAATTTTGATCATAGACAACTTCACTTATCTGGTATTAAAACATTAAGGCATTATTTTAAAAGTATAGTTTATAAAAAAAAATGCTTACTTTGTAATGAATATAAAAAGTTCTTTAGCAGAAGTAGTGATTGTATTGAACATTGTTGAAATATATACAAGAGAGATATTCAAGTCCTGTATCTTGGCTTGAAATTATATCCAGTATTTCATAGAATTCCAAGTATTACTTCAAGGCTTACAATTAATAATAGACATGTTAGATATGTTTGAACAAAATGCTTTGAAAAACATAGGGAACATCTTCATAAATATATAGAACCTGAAAAGTTTCAAACATGTATTGATAATCAATTGTATATAGAAGATACTAACCATATTTTAAGACTTTTTTTATCTTGGTTATTCAATCTCTTGCATTCTCAAAATAAGAATAAAGAAGAAGTATTATGGCATATTATAAAATTATTAGAAACCCCAGAATCATTATCAGTATCCTTAACCAATACAGAGTTTAATTTACCTAGCCTATTGCTCATAACAATTGCCATAAAAATTAAGAAGTTCGATTATTATTCACCTACAGATAAAAAACTTGTAAAAGTTAAAGAATGTTATCAGTTTGAAGAAATGTTAGAAAATATGATATATAATTTATATAAAGAAATTGAGAAAAATCGTAATAAATTAGAAAACCCCTCTTCATTAGATAAATATTACAATAACTTTCCTTTAGTTTTCATTAGTTTTTTTGATAGATTAATTGAATCTAT